ATTTGCTTTGAAAAAAACGAAAAGGTCACTTTTTGGCCTTTTTCATTATTAATATCTATTCGGGCTTATATTCTAAGCACCAAAAAACTTTGCAATAGCAACCTAGATTCGTGGCCTAAAAGTAGTTTTACAAGTGGCCACAAGTACATCTGTTAAGTTGAAACAAATCTCGTCTTTCCAAATTAATCATTTTGCTTCAGCTTTTTGCAGATTTTTTAGACCTCTGCACAGCAAGAGTGGAAAGAGTTGAAAAGAGAGCCCAGGCAGTGTTGAATCCAATAGGAAGGGCTTCAGAAGCTAACTCGTATCCTTCAGCTTTGGGAAACCTCATTAACAATTATACAATTTGCAATTATAGATTTTTTTTCAATATGGTCCAAATCTTACTGAATAGAAACAGTTTATTACCACAACAGAATTTGCATCAAATGATGAAAAAAAAAAAAAAAAAAGACAAAAATGAACAATCCCCCCCCACACTAGTTTCCAAATCTGAAAGTTTCCCTCAGTTCAATCAGAATGAGTTTGAATCTTTTACCTACTGTTATGGCTCAAAAAGTCCCCCTGCAAGGATCCCTTTTCATTTCTCAGTGCTTCCTTCCTCCTTATCTTGCTGGAGTCAACATTAGAGCAGTGGGAAATAGGACACCCAGTAGGGAGCCTGCCTAGCACCTTGACTCAAGCACTCGCCTTGTTAGAAAAAATGGAGAAATGAAAGACAGGAGAGAAAGACAGAACAGCAGTACTAATAGAAATAAAAGTCCCCCTATCCTAATGTGAATACTTCAGTGGAAAGGTTTAATTTCTGGTTAAAACACCTTAAAACAATTACAAATCAGGGAAACTTTTGCCTTTAGCATTCATGAGCATAAGATTGCTTTCTGCAACATTTCCTTAAAGTTACTGCAAGGTCATTGCAGGAAATGGGAATATCGAGCACTTTGCAGCACAGAAGTTGCTGCTTTACTTGTGCACTGAAGTTTGCCATTGAAGAAGCTACTCTGGTATTTTTGAGGAAACAGACCTGACTTTCCTTTTTAAATAACACCAAAGGAGCCCAATTTGTAACATAAAAACATAACATTCATAATGTAAAACAGAGTCAAAACGTAGCCTTTTCAGAGAATTAAAAGTCTGGTTGAAATCTGCCTGTCAGGTAGCTTGCTCAGCCAAATAAAATCTTTCACAGATGTGTTTTTTTGCTCATTGCCTTTCTTTTATAGTAAATCAATCCTTGTAATAGTACATAAAACCTAATCATTATCCAGATGAGTCCCTACTTATCAGGTCATTTGATAACATGCTGCCTAAATGAATCTCATTTATAAAGTGTTCTCTTACCCTTTCAATGCCAAGATTCATGACCAGCACGACTGAACGCACAGCATTCATAATTAGCAGAAGTCCATGTACCAAAACTATTCCCAAGACAAATGCAAGAGCAGGTACATGTACCTTATGCGCTTGATACCACATCATGATTGGAATCATTATCATTTGTGCTGCTATTATCTACTCCACCGCAATAAACTTAAGTACCAGCCTCATCTGTTACACCAGGCACTTTTACGAGGGCAGTTCGCTAGGCAGAAAGCCCATGTCACCTCTCCTCACTGGTGTTTTTGAATAAGACATTCCATGAGGACAATTTTATCAAACACCAATTGGTGAAAACCTCTCAACCAACAATTTATTCAACCTATTTTTCCCTCGTCTTGTTCTTGAATTGCCTGGGAACAGATTGCACGTTCCCGGCTGGATTCATGATTCAAAATGATTTGGCTATTCATCAGCAAATACATTTTGATCTGCAGATGGTTTTCAGCTTACTAATATTCATATTCAAAGGCTGTGCTGTGTTTGCAAGGGATCTAAGTCACACGAGGTCAGATGTATCTCATCTACCTTTTGCCTTTAAACTGCGGTGTATAAAGTGCTCCTTAGATACTGTTTAGACAAGTTTCTCCAAGGGCGATTCATCACCTATTGGATAAGGTCAAATATGCAAGAAGTTTCACCCTTTAGAGGCTTCCTTGTTTTTTCCATTACTCACAAAGGAAAGATAGATGGCTAGCTTTGACTAGGTGCCCAAATTTCAGACAGCTAAAGTAAAGCAAGATAAATTCAGCCATGATATTTTCTTCTATTTTCCTTACCAGTGCCTTACATAACAAAACAAATACAATGAAAAATACTGCAATCACATTTAAAATACATTGCTTACTCAAAGTCCAGAAATTTTGCAATTCCTGCTGCCCTGCAGCAGCAAAGGGGCTGGCTTCTGAGCTCAAACTACTACCAGATGTTGCAGGTCTGAGCTACAGCGATATTCCAGCAATTCATCAAGTAGGTAGGGAGAAAAATCTTTTTCCTCTACACTTCACCTTCATGGAATATGACTACTGTAAATGAAGATTTTTCTTTCTGACTGTACTAGAAACAATAACAGAGACATTTAAGTCCCAGGATAAGAATCGGGGCAGAATGCATTTTTAAACCTTCCTACAAGCTTACCGAATTTGCCAGGCTTACTGATTGCAGAATATTTCCTGTTATTCCACTTATATTTCCACTTATACAAGCAAGCCCTTTTGCACGGTGTACGAGAAACATTTTAGGTACAATTTCTTTTTATAAGGAAAAGGCCATTAACAAAATTCTAACCTTCCAAAAGCAGATTTTGTAGCAGAAAGTATCGCTCCTTTCCATGTCTAGTTGTGCAGAACTAACCTACAACACATCCTTTCACTTACAGAAACCCTGAGGGAAAAACAGCCCTTCTAGAAAACCTAACCTCTTATTAAGAAGCTTTTCACATGAACTTATATTGCCATGCATGTCCTGTCTTAAATTTACAGCCAAGATGAAACATCTTGATAAATCTTCCCAAGAGGAGATTTTCCATCCTCCTTTTAATGTCTCCTTGGCTTTGCCTTTAGAGATGCAGAGATGATGGCATTTACTCAGCTATTTCACCTCTTCTCCTTTGCTTCTCTAAGCAGCTCTGATAAATACTGGTCATTTCTAGATTTAATTTTTAGCCACTCTTCCCCTAACAAAAATGTTAATGTCATCTTCTCCCCCCAGGGAGAAGATTTTTGCAACAATATTATCTTTTGCCTTTCTGAGGCAGAAAGCGAGTTCTGTTTAGTGTTTTATTATGCACAACGGAGAAATATTAAATAGATCAATAGGAAAATGAAGCTGTTGCAAGTTGATCTCCATGGAGTAAGAAAAATGCAGGGGAAACAGGAATTATTAGGAAAAAAGAAAATTAAATTTACATGCTTGAGATAATAGGGCATGTCGTTTATTCTCTGTGGTTTCTCTAATCTAGCTTCACTTAATTGCATTCTTTGTAAAGACATATTGTTTCATTTCTTTCCCCCATGGATCTTTTTTTTGTTGGGGGAGTATATAGTGTAATTATCAGCTCCCAGCATTATCTCTACTTTTATAATAAAATGTCATGATTTTGAAAAGAAAAATTTCAGGCACTGTATAATGTCAATCATCTGTCTTGCCGGGATGGAGCGGCTTTCCTTTTGTTAATCGGTTGTAAGGGTTGAGGGAAACTGTCTTCCACACACAGCCATTTTCTAAAAGGAATGTCCCCATCTGCTCAGTACAAGAGCATTGTCTCAGTCATTATTACATATTTCAAAGCAGATTTCTGTGTGTCATAACTTTGGCATTTCAACATGTAGACAGACTTATATTCATGAAAAGTAGGGCAAATCATAATATTTCCCCAAACTTCAAAGATCTGTTTTCATTTTAGTATCTTCACAAATAAAAGTTAAATTTATCCCATACATTTTGGAGTTTGCTTAGGAAAGCTTGACACTTCCATCATTAATGTACTCACTAAAGAAATTCCAAAAAACCAAGCTAGTACCTGTTAATAGCTCTTAAACCTCTAGCCCCAAGAAACAAAGCCAAGATGCGCTATCTTTAAAGAGCACCTGAACATTCATTAGGCTACCCAGGGGACACTAGGGGGTGTCACCAGGTGGTGACATAGAAGCACAGGAGAGGCTGTTATTTGGCCAAGGGATGGTGCTAACACCCCACTCAAGGGACTTGGACACCCTCTAAAATCCTTTATTATTTACTCAATATTACTAAATATTTCCAGAAAAACTGTTTGCTTTTGCCTGACAATCTGTACTCAACCAAAACCCCCACCAAAGCCATGTCATTTTTGACATGCAAATTTTTGGCATTTTTGATGCAAAAATGCATCACTGACTGGGAGTTTTGCATCTACGGACTGACAAAAATGCAACCAGACAAGTCATAGGAAACACAGAAATTTCCCTAGCTGAAACAAGACAGTAGAAAGATGATAGATCATAACAGCTCATGTTAGAGTCAAATATTTTGGTTCCTATACTACTGCTTTTTAAACTGTATTAAATCATTACAACATAATGAAACTACTGTGACGTTATTAGAATATGATGTATGCTATTGAATATTCAAAAAATGCAAGTGTCCATTGACAATCATTACTTAAATTGTAAATAATTATAAGATTAATTATAAATACTTTAGTTCCTACTCCTGAATGTATGTTTATATATAACTAACTGCAAGTACATTAACAAATGAACTATAACTAAATACAGTATTTATTGCTATATAATATCAGAAGGTATTTGCTTTGACCATATGAAAGGCATACGACAATGCTCATCAAACACTTTAGTCAAAAGCTCCTAGCTGCATTATCCAAACCTCAATATTACATCCTAAACCTGAGAATTTCACAGCTCTATACATATATTATGGGAAACAGTGGCATTTTAGGAGTGCTCTAAGATTTTCTGTCTTGAATTTTAAGCCCATTCTGAGTCCTGGAAAATGATTTACGTGTTCCTGTATTTACTTCACTGGATAACTAGCCTTTAAATTCATTGCAGACCTGAACCTGCATTGACTGTGTTTTGAAACATGTTTTATGATAGATCCCACCAGTGACCCCAGTAGCACAACACACTTTCCTATGAGATGGTAGGGAAGGAACAGCTCTGAAGTGACTTGCCAAGAGTTTGCAGCTTTTCCCTAATATCCCGTCATTTGGATGAGGGAACTGATTCCAGTTTGTTCTACGTGCCCATGCTCTTCCACTAAAAAACAAACAACAAACAAAATCCTCATGCCTTTGGATACGAAAGATTCACTGGAAATCTCTGGCAACTGAAACTCAAAATCTGATCAGACGCTCAATATTTGCAAATTTGTGTTTGGGATTTTATCCTAAGTCTCATAATACCGCAGCACCAGTTACTCTAGACAAATGATTAACTGAGGGAAAAATGCTAAAAAAGAGATTGCAGACATCTTCCCCTCATCTGAGGGGAGAAGATTAGAATAAGATGCATACCGGGAAAAAAAATTAAGAAGTGTCTAGAGTGGCTGTTCTTCAGATGAGGTATTTTTCAGAGAGCTCACTGCACTGCAGCTAACAGCGAATGCCTGGAGCGATTGCACTGCAGACAAGCCACAGCCTTGGGAATAAGGCACCTAATTCTTCTCTTTTCCAAGGTTGGGCATCTTCCACAGAGTGTTACAGAGTCAGGTCTCCATAGCAGGGCCTATACCTTCTATTGTATTACTGGATCTGTCAAGAGATCACAAACAGGACCCCTTTAGGTGACAGCAGCAGTCTGTGGCTGGCTGAATGCTAGGACAGTCCCCAGCAAACCCCAACTAGATGTAAGCGTCGTGCAGACTTTGCAGAGGGATTTGCAAGTGAGCAACAGCCTCATCTTTCCCATTTCATTTTCTTTTCAGCAAAGGTGTACAATGGTTACAAAACTCTTGCTCATTGTTTGCTTCTTACCAAGTTTATCTAAATTATGTCTATAGCAATGTTCAAAATTGCTTTAGAATAGACGCTTAGGTAATTTTTATATAGAGGCACACAAGTGAAAGATGCCAGGAGCCACTGAAACTTCTTCCCACAGATTATTTACCTTCTAACTATCTAAAATTCACCATAGAGCATGAAAAACTAAAGCAAAATTTTAACCCCAAATAAACATGTATTTATTAATTCATCTTCAGGAAGAGTTTAAATAAGGGACTAGAAGTTAAACTGCATTATTACAGGTAATAATAAAGGGCATACACAAAAAAATTGGTAATATTGGCTTAGATTTAGATGCACAGTTAAGGTAACCTTCTATTCCTCCTCTTTCATAGAAAAAAAAGCTACTGGAAACACTAGAGAATACAAGAGACTGTCGTTAGTTGTCATAGTGTGTCTATAATTACTTACTTTGTTCCTGAAGCCATCACCATGATAAATTTGCAGTTTTTCCCATCTGCCAGTAGTAATGTGCAATACATTTAACAACTGAATTTGCATATAGAAAGTATCATTGACCTTTGAATTTAAAAGGACAAAGATTTACAAGGACACCCTCTGAAACAAAGTGCCTAGTTTAGGCAAGATGGAACAGCACAAGAAAAAAAAAAAGCCAACACTTTCTCTTGAATGTAGGAAAAACTGCAGATTTTACTACCAGCAAGATCTTTGACATCCCTGTGAAGCAGCTCCCTCATGAAGACCCCACTCAGGAAAGGAAACGACGACAACACCACGGCAGGATCCGTGAGGTGCCTGGCTTGGCCAAACTGCACGTTGAGCGTGTGCAGCTGTGCTGGGGGACAACGTGCAGCCCCGCGACGTGGGCGCACGCAGGGTGACAGGCCGTGCTCTGCCTGCAAGGCTCTCTCTCTCTCTCCAGGCTCCCGTGCTGCTCACAGGGGCTGGCCCTGCTGCTGCGCCCAGCTCTCAGCAGCACTGCCCTCCAGCTCGCCAGGGCACCAACAGAGCCACAGGGATGCAGTTCGAAGCTGGTTGGCATGGACAGGGCTCAGAGCATTGGCCAAGCAAGCTCCTGACAGCCAACAACAGGCTTGGAAGTACACAAAATCCAGCTTTAGAAAAAAAGAGAAGTCTTTCCTGTGCTGAGCTCCAGCAGGCAAAGGGGAAGCTCTTTGCCCAGTTCAGGCTGCTACCCTATTGCCAGGCTATTGCAGGTACTGCAGACTCGCGGGGCTGCCCCCCGAGCTACAACATGGCCCCAGGCAGCTCTCCTGATGCCCAAGGTACCCAGGTACAGACCGCACAGCCGTTCCCCTTATCCACCTCTGCGCTCACAGAGTTTGCAGGAAGTTTTGAAGTGCTTTTTGATGGCTGCTGCCATTGAACTGATACCTTTCTGGAACAATGTATCACCACCATCATCTTGCTCCTAAATGCTAATTTTGAATTCGGATAAGACAATTTCAAATAATTCCCATTTTTGGCATTTCAGTTGTCATATGAATCTGCTATAGGTGGCATGTGGCAGTGCTGCCACATCTTGGATACTGCACCACATTCAAACTTCAGAAAATATTTAAGAGGTGTGGGAGTGGGAAAAATACAAAGCACATCACATATTCCTGACATACTCTAATTTATTCAAAGGAAAAAAAAACTATAAATCTTGACATATTCTCAAGAGGCTGTATGTAGTCTCTTCAACCTATCTCTACTAATGTCCTTTTGTTAACATTAATTTTTGTATTGTCAATAGCGCTCCCAAATAACTCTTGGGAAGAAATTGCTATAGTTCAGCTTACCATGCCATGAATGAATTATTCATAAATGTCATTCTGGCTCATAAAAACTTAAAATATTAGTTCAGATCATCATCATAAATACAACTTTAACACTGACTGCACAGCCCTTACTCCCACACTACAATACTTTCCCAGGAAGCTATGATGATTCAAGATAAAATGACACTTGCAGAAGCAAGGTAAAACTGTGAGAGATGAAGGACTGCTGAATTTTGAATTTCTATAGCATTCTTAAAATATGGCTTTTTGGTCATTCTTAAAAGGGTTTGCATAGTCTTGTTATCAGATCCCCTTGAAATTCTTCCTGGCGCGTTGTGTACAGTATCCATTCCTCTATCCTGCCCCTGTGTTTTCACGACCAAAGCAAAGAATCAAGGGATTACTTGGTTATTATAAACTCTCTTATGATTCAAATTCCATATGTACTTTAACAGTATCTTGGCAGGTCTGAGAGAGGCTTAGCTGCACTGTAAACTAGTCATGGAGAGAAGCTAAGAAAAAGAATGAGTGGTGACTACCGTGGACACCAAAGGGGGCTCTGTTCCTGCTCCTCCAGTTATAGATGGCCAACCCAGGACACAGCCCATGGAAGGTATTTGCAATATTTCTTTTCTGACTGTGACAAAATACCGTGAGGAAGAAATTTGTGCTACAGAACAACAAATCATGACAGGGGATGGGAAGAAGATAAGCTGGGAAGGAGAACAGGACACTGTTGAATAATAAGCACTTGCTGTCTTCACTTCGGAGCTAAACAAGCTACCGAGAAAAAACAGTTCCTGTGAAGAGAACATGCAATTGAGAATGTCCTGGAGGTATTAATATTTGGAAAAACTCAGCAACATCATTCAGTCTACAATTATTTTCACAAAGGATCAGTAGAAATGGGAAAGAATAGATGACCTGCCTGTTACTCACTGTTTTCAGCTGATTTTCTTGCTTGCTTCTTACAAACAAAATGGCATGCAAGTTTACTGATACTCCTCCACTATAGTTTTGTGAATAGTTTCAGCAATGAATTCTGAGTTTATATACCTTAATCCAGTAGAGTACTTACACATTGCCTCAATTTTTATTCCTTCCAATGTCACTCAAGAAGCTTCCTTGAATAAGCACTGCTTCAGGTTTTCTGGCACATATTGGACAGATTTGTTCTTACAGAAAATTTACAGCTAATACCTGAGTTGTATTTAATTTGGAATATGTATGAAGATTCTCCCAACTCCAGCAACTTTTTGGCTAGGTCTCAAATTCAATATATGCGCCTGATACAAAAAAAAATTAAAAAGATATTGGAATCTACTTTTCACAACTATTTCTCTAACGCTTTCGCTTTAGCAAACATCTGCTGTGCAGAGCGCTTTCTGGAAAGTGTTCAAGCAGCAGCAAAATGGGACAGGAATTTGACAGGATGAATAATCAGGGACAATTTTCAGATGGGTTTGCTCAACTCTATGAAACAAAATGGAACTAGAGGGTATTACTCTGGACTGAGCAGCACTGCTAGGTACCCTTCTACAGCTTTTATCTTCCACCGGATGCAAGTTGGGCCATTGAGCGGAAGATGTGCAGTGGCTCGGGCCCATACATCGAGCATATGGTGGAGTTAGATTAGGAACAGCGAGAGAAAGTCTCTCTACACAGTAACCGTGGTCAATTCTCCTGAAATCTGCCTGCTATTGGCTTGTTAACAAAAGCCAAATCAAACACCTGTGCACCAGACACAGCGCTGCCGAAGTGCCAGCACTGGCCCATCTGCAGAACACGGCATTAGGCAGCTGCTTTTCTTGGGTGAGACGCAAGACAGACACATCAGAGCAAGCCCACAGCACCACCAGAGGAAGAAGCTGACTGTCCTTCTTTTCTTCCTTTGCCTTTTCATGCCATCATAATTGTAGCATGAATAGCAATGAAATATTCATTTCTCTCCCCCTCATCAAGTCATTTTCCAGGTCCTGAGCCTGTATGCTGTGAGCCTCATCCTTTCCTCTTTTTGGCTCGCCTGCCGCTTTATTGGCAGATTCTTCCAGTGCTCCCTTCCCTCCCCTGACTTCTGCCATGCTCCAGAGAACCACAGAAGTTTTCAAAACTGCTTAAACACTGTTGGTGAAGTGTGACATTAATCTGATAGACACTGGAAAAAAAGAGACCATACATATTTGATTCAAGTATCATATTATGCAAACTACTTGCTAGGATAGCACCTCATCCGGGTTGTGTTCCTTCCATCACAGGTATGGACCTTTCTGCTTTTGCCTCTCTTGGTGACTAACACGAGTGACCTTCCCTACGTAGGGTGGAATTTGTTTTGGACCCCCGATCGTCTTTCGTCACAACTGTATAGGTACATCTTATATATCCTAACTGCTCTTTCAGTATTCACTAATATGCTGTATTGAAGCATCATCAGAAACAAAAAGTTGAACAAAAGATGGTCTCCTGTTTCCTCTAGCACAGGCCAAAGAAGAACACTCCTCTTCAGATACCCTCTAAACATGAATTCAGAGAGCAGAAGTGATAACTGGAAGTGGCAGAGCAGCTGTAGTGTTGATTAGACATGAGCATCCATAAATTTGCAGAAGCTGGGATTATTCACAAGCTTGGAAAGATCTCACATTGCAGGTGTGCACAGAATGGCTTAGGCAAGAGAGCCCCAAAACGCAGCAGACACGAACTGACATAGAAGACTCAGCTCCTGAAAGCAGATGTACAACAGCAAAGCACATTCAGGCTGTCAGACGCTTTTCTAAATAGCTGCCGTTGTGCACACTCTCAAAGATCACAGCCAGGAAGCTCCTTGCTGCTGAACACGGCATTTTACTGCTGTCTGAGGTGGTCCTCAGACTTGAGGGCTGCATTTCCCATAAAGAAACAGTATCATCCACAACTATATAAAAAATAGAGTCTAAACCATCTGCAGAGGCTGTGCTGCCTTAAAGCTGTGCTCTTGCACCTGCTTTATGGAATGTTTCAGGTTGGCAGGCG